GACCAAAATGTTCGGCTACCGGTGGTGGACGAGACCAAGTTTTCGGCTTTGTGGCGAACGCCGCGTTTTTGGTTCTCTGAATGGTCGTCGAGCATCTGTTCCTAGCTTGCACAAAGCGTTGGTGGGAGAGGGGAGTGGGCTAGCGGCGGAAGGCTGAACGTTTAAAGCGTACAGCACGGTCACATGTATGGTCAAACCACTCAGGTGATTTGGGTTTGCAGGGTTTGGAAAAGTGTGGAATCAGAATATGCATACCTTGAAGAACAACGTGGGTGAAGTTAGCAACGGATTTGGAAACATCCGAAGAGAAACAACAATCGTTCAAGGGATAAGCAGCTAGGAAATCACGGAAACCGTCCCAGTTGGCTGAGTTTTGGAGCCAGAATTTGTCTCGAGGTGGGTGGTGGCATGGAGGTTGAAAACCTAATAGAGCCGGAAATAATGCAGTAATCTGATGAGCCAAGAGGAGGGAGGGTATCAATAACTGAGAAGAAAGAAGAGACCGAAGTGAGAATTAGATCGAGGGTGTGGGCACGATCAGGGATACGTGTGGGGAGGTCAACTAGTTGGCTCAGGTTGTTGACCAAAGCGAAGTGTTCGGCTTCGCGCCCCAAAGGAGAAGTAGCAGATGAATGTGTCAACCAGTCCTGATTGTGAATGTTAAAATCTCCCAAGATGGTAACATGGCAGTTGGGGTCGGTAGCCAACAAATGTTCAATGTTCGATGATAGAAAATCGAAGATGGTAGAGTCGCCGCTATTGGGGGAACAATAAAGAACACAAATGTAATGACTAAAGGAAGGAAACCGGAGTTTCAGCCACAACAGCTGAAATTCACAATGGGAAAAGTCTAAATTTGGGATCCTGGAGGCGGCGACTGATTAGTGAATAAAGGAGGAATGGAGAGTATAGTTAGGGTGGTGTCTGACGAGGGGAGATTTGTGTTTCGGTCAAAAAAGGGCGAGCGGAGAAGAAGAATGGAGAAAATGGTGTACAGAATCAATATTGCGGTTCAGTCCGCGAATGTTGGTGAGGGTTATGAGTGCGTGTTTACAGTCTGAGTGTTTAGAGCGAGCGAGAGTACGTGAGCGTTCGTGATTTTGTATATTCCTGTTTATATTGTGAGGAAAACCGGCAGCCGTGATCCTGGAACTTGGAGTGGCGGACCACATAAGGCTTCAATAGATCAGGCGTGGTAGTGAGCCGGGCAAAGGCAGAGCCGCCTACGCAGTTTAGCCCACGTGGGATGCAGCGAACGGGTTAGCAATCTGGAGGTAAGCCGTCGTGTGTTTGAGAGTTCATCAGGGATAAACCTGCTAGCGCACCGAATTAGTAGACTTCCTGGCTAGGGAACGTATCTCGTATACCCATCTACCGTCTACCACATCGCACCTTATTCACTTTAGCTGCTCCGGGCCGGAGGAAGCCACGAGGAGGTCAACAGATGACGTGGAGACGAGGCATGAAGAAATGCACAGAGCCATTGGGTAGAGTAGGTGTGACGCACCTTCCAGGTTGGGATCCGAAAGACTCCGCAACTCCTTGGTTGGAGACATTGAAGGATATAGCAGCGATTCGACAGCAATGGCGTTCTTGTTGTCATTTCTTGTCAGGGTGGTAGTGGCGCAATAGTTTAGTCGCGGTTACCTGCGTGCCTTCGACCGTATGGTCCGAGGTTCGAGCCGCGCCACCGTCACCCAACTTTGGTGGTAGACAGCTTTGCTGTTGTCCGGTTCAGTACCACGTCTAACCTATCGGGGCTTTATGTGGTTCGCCACTCCAAGTCCCGGGGCTTAGGTTTCCGGTTTCTACCACTGAACAGCAGGTCCTCGTGACTACGGGACTCGCCCCGTCTGCTGTTCATCACACGTAGATGTGTAATAAAAAATGCAGAGTTCGATTGTGCACTCTGTGTTGACTATAGAGGCTCACCTTCTCCCTCTCTCAATATAGGTCCAATTCCTGTCCGCCTTAAATTTTACCACTAACTTTGTGTGTATTGTGAGTTTGGCAGCGATCAGTGAAGTTCGCCTCACTGTATTTTGCTGTACAATGGTGAAGATGATGTGTCTTTTGGGAGACCAAGGTAATTTCTAGTAATCCTTAAACAAGCGGGTTGGGAAGTATTCTTGCCGTTCAGGAGAAATATTGCCACTTCGTTATACTTCACTGCTGGCAGTAAGATTTTTGATAATTGTGCTTTTCAGTACTCAAAATAGTAAAGGTTCTTCAGGGGAAGAAAACCTGTACCTCATATAAGAGCCCTAATTTTCAACCCGAAGTGTGGCTAGTGATGAGTAGCTTTATTCACTGTCTTCATGATGCTCATTATGCCACTGTAGGGCAGTTCAGTTTTCAGAAATAAAATGCTTGGATAAGGACAATTCTCGGTGGCTCCAAAAATAGTCGCCGTGTGAATAGCTGATGTAACATTCATTTATATTCATGACCCTTTCCCACAAGGCTTCATCTATGAATGCAACGTTTTTATTGTTCGAATCACCGCAAGCATGCTTGCTCGCGACTGTTTTTCTTTCATTGTGTTACGGTTTTGTTAACCTTGCCCAGTTTACGACCCTAAAATCTCACAAATTTTGACTTTCAGGATCAAGAATGCAGGCGATTATCTTAGCCCACTCAGAGCCATCAGAATTATCTCAACTCACAGTATCTAATTGTTGTGGTCTACTCCCATTCCACAATGGAACTCTTTTGTCCAATCTGATCGATCGGTTTGTGGCAAGCGATGTGTGCGAGATTGTGATCGTACACCGGGAGGCTCACACCGCAGTACTGGAACAGTTTATTGACAATCATCGTTCTAATTGGCCAGCCTATACGGAGATCTCATTGTGTGCGGTACCCGCCTCGTGTCCAGTGCTAGACTGTTTTCAGCGTATTCGCGCGCGAATTCATTCGGATTATGTGTTTCTCACGGAGACCACCGTGGCCGTGACCGATTTGAACTTGCGACGCCCATTTCTCACTCTGATTCGAAATCATGCACAACTGGTGGCTGTGTTTGCCAGTCTGCCAACCGCGGAGAGTAAACTTTTCAAATCTGTCCCCCGTGAACTGGTCCTTTTGCGAAATCACAGCGATGAGTTGCTCGGTTATTTTGCTTCAACTGAGATCAGGAAACATAGCACAGTACCACGATTACTAACAGAAACTGGGTCAGAGTTATTGATTCGGTCGGATCTACGCGAGGTCGGTTTTTATCTTCTCTCACGTTCTTGTATGGAGATGCTTGCTCGATCACGGTAACTGGACTTAATTGATGCATTTCGGTCACAAACATTAGAGATGATGTCGGTCATCGGAAGAAGACAATGTCACAATTCATCAACACATTTCCGTCTAGTTCCTCGCGTCATAAAGACTCGACTTTCACAGGTACGTCGTTCTGTCTTCTGTGCCAAACTAGTTAATTTCCCTTCTGCTTCTGATGTTTGCTTTCCAGGTTCCCTGACAGAGGACCCTCCTGATAATTCTTTGTCTGAAACTGACCAGTTTTATATGACCATGAAAAAACCTTGTGGGGCCTTTTTGTATGAACATCAGGATGCTAAAGTGTGCATCAAATTAGATGATCCGTTTTTGTTCGCCGAAGCGGTCCACATGGTAAGTTTTAGATAACTTTCTTTTCGAGATACCGACTGCACTGAATATAAGCTCACCTTTTATTATTTATCTTATTAGAAGGAAAGCGGGATTCAGTCAGCAATAGTTATCCGTTGAAAGTTACCAGGAATGTTATGCAATCTGTCTGTTTCGGCGATCACTGTTTCGTGTATCGTCAGTTAATTCATGCGAATGATTAACAGACATTGTATTACTTTGCGTGGGTTTCGCTGACAATGGAAATCAAATTAGAAATTTTTTTCACTTCCTCATAACATGGTAGGACTGAGACACTATAAAGTGTCTCTTCAGCTTCGGATCTAAATGCTCACAGTGGGGCGAATTATTTTTACTAGGTAAGACCTGCGTGACTAGTATCTATCATTGTGTACACAGTTAGATGGTCTTACGTCTGATTATCATTCCGTAAGCAGAGCTGAGTACTACCGAGCGCTAGAAATGCACGCTCAAAAAAATGGCCGGATTAAGTGTGGCGTTAACCCGCCTCCTACCTCGGAATGGACAGCTGAGTAATTAAACAGCTCTGATCGATACTGAGGCCTCCGCTCGGTCTCTTATTCCCACAAATCTTCATACACAGTATCCATGAAGCAAACTTTTGCTCCAGAATAAAATAGTCGGGTAAACGTAAGAATGTATAATCGTGGAATCTGTGAAGTTCAACTAACCTCACCTTGCCTTGCCCTGATGTTAATTTTCAGACCCCCCTCCCGTCCTCTTAACATGCGTTCTTTATGTTCGCCCATCTCTAACATCCCCAACCTCATCTACTGGAACTATCACCATCTTATCGTTCCAAATTGCTTTCATGGTTCACATCGTTTCTTTTAGTTCGCCTGACCCATAGAATTACTCAAACAGAGAAGACGAATATCTGAAAAAGTCTTGTACACCACACTGGTTTATTCAGAATGTGTGTTGGTGGTCTCTATCACAACTAAAAAGAATGTTAGAAACTTTGGAGCAAATTCTATACCGAAGCCCACCCCGACACTTAGTGGGCATATCTTTTGGAGTCCTAAACCTTGGACTCTAAACTCGAATTTTCGAGCTTTCGGTAAGTTTCTGGAGTTTCTCTGGGGAACACGACCGAAGCCTTTGAGCGAACAATCTGAACTACACGGCAGCGTGATGTAGGTCCAGCAGAGAAACATTCTGGAGGCGTCCACTCCATGGATCATTACAGACAAGTGATGCAATCATCACAGTAATGAAAGGAAGCGAAAGCAAAAGAAAATACAAGACAATTAGCCCCCCACGTATGTTTTCTTTCTTTCTTATTAATTTCTCCCTTTCTCCCATGTGTGAATTATTGTGCAGTCCGTATTGAAATAGAATTTCTTGAAATTGTTCTATCTGCCAACTTCTCAGTACGAAAAGTGAATCCTAGGTAATATGAAGCACCAGTGAAGTGACATTGATGTGACGAAGCAAGTTTATTCGATTTCAATCTGTACATCTGCGTGGAGCGCGCTTCACACCATTGCCCGTTCTCCTAGCTACATCTCGTGGGGTCAATGGTAATGTTACTGTCAAGGCACACACGAGCAAAATCGTGTCATGCGTTGCATACAAAGTCTTGATGAAACTTTGTTTCCTTTAAGTGCTATACCTTTTGTTACTAAAAGATTCACACAGGCCTGTCCATCAGCTAAGCGATATGAATAAATGGTATGTGATGGTACAGATGGACAAACGTGTTTTACTCAGATTAACCCAGTAGGTGATAAAAGCAGTTTTTCGATAATGTTGCTGAAAATCTCAAAACTAGCGGCCCTGATAGACTTAGTCGTGTTGACTCATACACGGAGTTAGTGTGTATTTCGTATTGGGGGTGATGGTGGTTGTACTATAGTTAATATGCTATGAATCGGAAAGTTTTACCCGACGTTGTCATTCATCTTCACTCCCAAATTTGTTCCACATCTACCAGGCTTTCCAGAAATCCTCTGCCCAGAAAAAAGGCAACCACATAGCCCAAGGCTGTGAACCGGATCCGACTGCAACAATCCGGTCAAGTTTCATCTGTGATGGTTGTACGATTGGACCAAATGTGGAAATTATCAACTCGTTACTACTTCCAGGTGTAACTGTCAAACAGGGGTGAGTCATAATTGCATTTCTCTAGAAAATTTGGTGTCTTCTCTCCTTTGGAATGGTCAAATATATTCCAAAGTGTTTTGTGGGGTCGATGACACAATTCACGCTCGATATTCGGGAGATCACAAGGAATCCAGAATCCTTAATTGCAAAACAGCTCTTGACACCCAGATACAGTTGATCCCGCTTCCTCTTTCAAACTCTTATTACGTAGCTGTGTTGTTCTGACTAGGCATATGATCGACACGAGCGCCTCTTGACTTGCCCCCAACAACAATACAGGAGGGAGAACACGACTAGAGAACAATATCCAGAATGTGTTTTTATAATCATGATGATACGGGTAAATTGGTCGTACGGGAACGACGTGGTGACATACCAATCAGATCGCTTCCTTGACACTTCTATTGGTCGATCAGATGACAACTGTCTGATTGGTCCTAGTCATCCAATCGAAAATCGAATCATCTTCGGCGTCGCGAGCCTGCTTGTGGTGTGACGTGGATCTGTGTGTGGCTTGACGGGTTCTCTGACCCGTCCTAACAGTAACCGCAAATGTTAGCAATCAGTGAGGCGTTATTAATCAGATTACATCATCCCACTTTGTGCACCCAAACGTTATTAACGCATATATATATATATATATCAAGAGAGAATGGAGGCGTACACTGAGTTGTCAAATGTAAAAAATATATTTATATATTTAACACCGGCTTGCGGACAAGCATGGTGCCAACGCC